TAAAAGCAGATAAAAAATGAAGATTTAATACCATCTCCGATCCTATTTATAAGAGCTTATTTATAAACTATGAACGCAATCTTATAAATAGGATCGAAGGTAGTAATTATATTACCATAGCATAAATATTAACACAAACTAATGATTGAAATATTAACTCAGAGACAGGCCAATAAAATTGGCTATGAAATGAAATGACTGTTTGATAACTTAATTATTCATAATTAACTTTAGCATGTACAGAGGAATTCAATTTTGGATTCATAGTTGATTTTAATGTGTGCGTGTGGATGTTAATATACTTTTTCAGAAAATCACGATTTGGACCTTCAAAATTGACTGTTTTTCAATGACTCCATTGGTTCCTATAGTTTTAAAACTCCATTTTCAAGCTGGCCTAAAAAAAGTCTTCGATTTGCAAATTATCCTATATATAACTGAATTCCTCAAATACAATTACTAAAAATTAAAAACATGTCATTAGGAGACAAAATTGTCACTTTTCCTAAAAAAAAATAGTGACTTATTTTTAAATTATTTATAAATCACATCATTAAAATTTTTATTATCGTATAGGCTTTTTTCTTTTGTTATAACAAGACCGTTATTTTTTCTTGAAAATTATATATAAATAGAAATAAATTTAAAAAATTATTAAAATTTGAGATAAAATTAATAGGGTTAAATTTTTTCTAGATTATCATAAAACATGCTGAAAGTAACTAATAAATAGATTAAAAATTATTTGTTATTATAATGAAAATAAACAAAAAATTAAAGATAATTATTGCATAATATAGGCTTGTACTCTTCCGGTACTAAATATAAGACTCTTATACTAGTGTGTATAAGGGTTTTATATTTAGGATCGAAGGAGTATATATGATTGTAAAGACCCAATGTCCCTGTCCAATCCTTATCTGTAAACAACTTTAATTATGTGACTCCCAAAATTAGAAATATTAAAGGCTTGTGAAATTTGGCTAATTCATTATTTGAAAAACCTCTAAAATGAGTGTAATCAATATTTTTAATTATAAGACCTTCCATTATGACAAATTAAAGTGATTTGTCTCAATACGTCAATTAGCTCTAACAATGTCAGCTATCAAAATGCCAAATTCCTCCCGCTCTTTAATATAAAAACTAATTGACTAATTTTAGTATATTAATTATTTGTGATAAATACGAATTGTTTTTCTCAAAATATCTTTACTTATCATATTTATTAGCTAGAACTACTATATGATAAAATCTTTAATATGTGTAATTTTATAATGACTACTTTAAAAAAATGAACAAATATGAGACATAAAATGATTGAGTCTTAAATATAAGACCAAATTAAAAATCTAACTAGCTGTTATATTAAAAAATGGAGGCAATGTAAAGCAATTAGGACATGTCTACAAAAACAACCGAAAAGGACACCAGTATTTGATAGATACTTCTTCTGTCCCTTTTCATAAGCAATATTAGAGCTAATCATGTAGATCAAAATGTTAGTTAAAATTAGTTAAAGATAATAAATATATAGAAATTAGAAGTTCTTTTACTAAAATACTCTTATTTATGGGGGAGAGAGTATAAGAGAGAGAATAAGAAAATTACTATAATAAATAGAATTATGAAAAAGAGAGAATGTGTGATGAAAAGATGATGGTTTAGGAAATGAAATAATAAATATATTGAGTATTAAGAGTAAAATAAGGAATTTGCTATAAAAATTTAAGACAACTTATAAATATTATTTATATTTAGAAATAAGAAAGAGATGATAATTGTTGTTTATAAAATAGGATGCAAGGAGTAAATGTTGGATACTGGATGACCTCACGGTTGACTTTGTATAGATTCTCGACTCTATTAACTTTCAAACAAAACATAATTCAGCATATTTTACTTGACGTAAGATTCTTAAATGACTAACGTTTTTTTTTAACGCCCAGACTTAAGTGACAAGTTACTTCTTACATGACATAAAGTTGATATAAAATTATCATCCGATTATAGTTGGAATCTCTCCTTTCATTTGAAGTTACTCTACTAAGATATAAACATGACATGAAACATAAAAGCATGTCATAATGACAGATTAGACTTGGCTGGTGAAATAGATCAGCAGATTAGCTTTTGATCATACTCCTCTAATCCCCAATATAAAATTTAATTAATCAATTTAAGTAGATAAGAAAAATTTATTAAATTAGTTAATAAGTTATTTTTTAAAAAAAATATGATAATAATTTTTTTTATTCTCTTCCTTCTTCTTTAATTATTTTGAGAAATATTACTATAATTAATTTAAAAAATTGTTAAATATATAAAACAGATCTTATATATAAGATTAACATCAATTTCTCAGTTAGATCACATAAAATATTAGAGATTTGAACATCTCTTCCTCAGCACACGTGAACTTGTGCCCAAGCCATAGTTGTGTTGTGTGCACATCCATAATTGTTAAATGACATATTTATTTTTCAAAAAATAAAAATGTCGATGTGTGTGTTTTGTCACTTTTCCAGGATAAGACTGACAATCTCTTCAAGTAGCATAGTAGATTTGCTGCATTTTATTAGTTCCGGGTCTGGTAAAAAATTAAAAAAAAAAAGGTTCCGGCAGTTGAGGGAAAAAAGGATATATACATTTATTTAAATTCAAATCAAGTGTATTTTTTTAAACATTTTTATCCTTTTTTGTGATTCAAACAAAAAAAAATGCATAATTTTTAGTGATAATATACTAAAGTGATGCCCAACATAGAAAGAAATTATGCATTTGACAGATATTTTACATTTTCAAGTTTTAATTAAAAACCTCAATGGATTTAGAATAAATTAAAATTTAGAACGAATGTTTTTTTTTTGGCTTGGATTAAATTGGACGGGGATTTAAATTGGCCTTCAACTAATAATTTTATTCAATAGTCAATAGTTTTAAAGCTACGCATATATAGATTGGTAGCATCCATTTCTTGTAATTTTAATCTACCTGTTAATATGAAATTTTGATGAATATGCTCATGAAAAGAATATAACATATGAAGATAACCAGAGATATTTAAATTCCCCATGACTATTTGAATCTTGACTTCCTATTAAAGTAATTAGAGATCAGAGATATCCATCTCTGTCAAAATAAACTTTTTTTTGGAGATTAAAATAATTTGTTCTCCATCTACGTCAAACAATTGCAGATTTAATGATATTTTAATTCTCCATGAACCAAGTGAATATCTTTCCTTGATTCCAAGCCAATGGCTATTGGTCAAAAAAAGAAGCAATTGGCTAATTTTCCAATGCAAGAAAAATACTGCCTCCAATTCTAATTATAAAACCTATTTGATTAATTTGGGAAGATTAAAAATTTAGTTAAGTTAGTTAATGGTAAAAAAAAATATCACTTATTTTCCAAAAATACCCTTATAAAATTTTTAAAAAAGCCCTACACAATATGGTAAAAAAAAACCTATTTTCCAAAAATATCCTCGTGAAATTTTTAAAAGTAGCCCTACAGAATACTTGATCGCCCGCACCTTTCTTCTGACCTCACCAAACTTCGGCTTGGCGGCACCCAATCAGATCAATCTCTTTGGATTTTTGATCTCTAATTTCTGGTTTGTGATTTCAGATTTTCGTTTATAAATTAAAAATAATTTTTTAGGCCTTAGAATTTTATTTTTCTTAGTTTTTTTTTTGAGATATAAATTAATCTTTTAAATATTTTTCACTGCTACTTAAACAGTGATGGGTAAATTTAACGACTCAAGTTATTTATTTATTTTAATAATTTTAAAATTTATTAATATATTTATAAAATATTAAAACTAATCCAGTCAAATTTTAATTCAATAGTTGAAATAGGAAGTGGAGAGAAGAAGTAGAATTTCTCTACATGCAATAGTATCTATTTGAATTATCGTTGTAGTGTTTGATTATAGTTAACGAAATATAAGTAAGGGTGGTTGGGAAAAAATGAATTAAATATAAGAGATAAAGTGGATTGGGATCTTATATTTAAAATCAAATTAAAAATCAAATTAACTCTTATAATTAGGATTGGAGGTAGTATTTACATTGAAACCAAACTTTAATGTTCATGTTAAAAAAACAAAAATAAGAGGGTTACAATATCTCCAAAGAGATTTAGGATTAATACTTTTTTTACTTCTTGAAATTTCACTTCGTTTTAATTTTGATTTTTAAAATTTAACTTTATTTTGATTTTGATCTTTGAAATCTAACTTCATTTTTGTTTTAATTCTTGTTTCAGGGGTTAAAAATACTATTCCATTAAGATGGATCAAAATAAAGTTAAATATCAGGTGACAAAATCACTAGCTTTAAATTTCAACCACTAAAAATGATATTAACCCACAACTTTATCTCTAATGTTAATGAGGTATATTGATATTCCATAGTCCATTCACCTTGCCAAAAATAAGTATTCGTGGTTTAATCTTAGATATAAAATCTTAATATTTTTTTTCTCAAAATTATACTCTTCCGGTTCTTAATATAAAATCTAATCGTTGAGTTGATTTTAATCCTAAATATAATACCTATTTCTCATATTTATTAATTTTTTCTAAATTACTCATATAAATACCTCTCAACCATAATCAAGTAGAAGAGGTATGAAGGATATTAAGAAAGATGATTATGGTGTTTTAGGAAAAGCATGTCATATTTCTTATAATTAACTAATTTACCTAACTTTCCTAATTTAATCAAACTAATTAAATATGTCTTATATTCAAGATCGGAAGAGTAACATTTATTCAAAGTATTCTTATTAATCATACTTAACTAATTTTTCTTATAGACGAGTTAGCTAGCCGTTAGTTTATATCCAGAAGCAAGTGAGAAAGAACCGTAATGATCTCTAAATAAACCACCACACGTCCGCAAGCAACATTCTCATCCTCTGACATTAGAGCTATGTTAAAAGAAAATGATAAAAAGTCTATATGTAGCGTAACCAAGTTTCGTGTTGCTTCCTGACTTGCAGAACACCAAAAGCCTTAATCAGTCAATCTTCATCCGTATTACCATCGGACACCTCGGAAAACCCGTAAACCCTTTCGTTCCGACCCGGATACAGGGTTTTCCGATGGGTCTCTCCGGCTCTGAGCCCGATTCTGATACCTCTCGTCTCCTCAACAGTCGCGAAACCCCGCCCAACAAGATCCCTGAAGACAAGTGGCATTTAGCCTACATCATCTACTTCATCATCGGCCTCGGCTACCTTCTTCCATGGAACGCCTTCATCACCGCCGTCGATTACTTCTCCTACCTCTACCCTGAAACCAGCGTTGACCGCATCTTTGCCGTCGTTTACATGCTCGTCGGTCTTGTCTCCCTCTTCATCATTATCCTCTATAGCCACAGATCCCATGTCTACGTGCGAATTAACGTCGGTCTGGGCCTGCTTACGTTGGCCTTGCTCATAGTTCCCATAATCGATGCAGTCTACATTAAGGGTCGGGTCGGGTTGTATGATGGGTTCTATGTGACGGTTGCAGCTGTTGGGCTTTCGGGTTTAGGTGACGCTCTGGTTCAAGGTGGAATCGTTGGGTCTGCTGGTGAGTTGCCGGATAGGTACATGCAAGCTACCATTGCAGGCACTGCTGCTTCTGGTAAACTTTGCTTTTCTATCTCCTCTTCTGCTATATACTTACTATTTTTGGTTCAATTGCAAATTCCCTTTAGGAGTTCTGCTGCCAATAGGATATAATAGCCCCATGGATTTCGAGATGCCCATTTGATTGTTAAAATTTGTGTTCATGTGTGAAAGAAGTATTTGTGTGTTTGATGTTTTTTTTGGGGTTTTTGGTGATATATTTCTGTTTGCCATTTGGAGCCATCCTCTTTAGCCTTCTGATGAATAACTTAAAAGGGCATGATCAATGATCCACTCTGCTTGTCTGATTTGTATGCGTAAAAGAAGCAAGTGTGCTTGGTGGTCTTTTTTTCCCCCTTTATTCGATGAGATTTTCTGTTTGCCATCATGGATCTTCCTTCTTTAGGCATCTGATGAATTCCTTAAGAGGGCGGATCAATTCTGTGTGATTTGTGTATGATAATCTGAACGATCATCAACAATTTTGAAACCATATTATATGTAGGAAAATCGGATCCTTAATCAATCTTGTGCACAAGTTCAATGCATAGTAAATTATTATTTTTTAGATCACATCAGAGCTGGGAATTTTGAATTCTTAAGTATTTTGTGTGCGTATTCTGAACTCTGCAGTATAGTTTAGTTATGAAAATTCGGACTCCTCTCTCTCCCTCTTGATACAGCTAGTGGTCAAAGCAATGTAATACCACCAGATATATCCTTTTTTGCGAGAAGTTTTTCAGATGTTGCTTATGTTGCTGCCCCCCCTCCCCCCTCTTCTTTTCTTTTTTATCTGGTTGTATTTGTCCCTTTTCTTTTTCTATATTATAACTGTATTGTAATCTTTTATTTCATAATATCATTTTGACTTGTTATAAACAAAAAAAAATGAAAATTCAGACTCAGAAGCAAGTTTTTCTTTCCTTCTATGTAACTTTTTCTACTTCGTTTTTATGCTTTGAGTTAATATTAGATCTCAAAGAATAGAGCTTGATTGTAGGTTTAAACTTTAGAAGGAGTGTCAAATGATGTCTTGCGCACACAACAGAGTTGTTATAGTACGGTGATATTGGGCTGATTTCTTTTCAGTATGTGAGTTGTAAGTTGTCACATCTGAAGCATTCAGTATGCTGGTACAAGGTTTCAATACAAACTAATTTGTGTAATATTCGTAAGAAATCAGTCATATATTTCTTTGCCTGATGAGCTAGTGTGTAAATTGTTTCTCATTCTCATAGTCGTGTCTTGGTTTTTCTATGTACTTGTAGGTGTACTTATTTCTTTCCTGAGAATATTCACGAAAGCTGTTTACTCTCAAGATGCTGCTGGCCTGCGAAAGAGTGCAAACCTCTACTTTTCTGTAGCAATTGTAGTTATGTTCATATGCACGGTCTTGTACAATGTAGCGCACAAGCTTCCTGTTATGAGGTACTATAATGAACTCAAGGTTCTGGCTGTCACTGAAGATGAAGAAGTTCAAGGTCCTCTGACTAGTTCTGTTTGGAGGGCAACTCTATGGGATATTGTGGGAAGAGTGAAATGGTATGGATTTGGCATTCTTCTTGTATATATTGTGACTCTTGCCATATTTCCTGGGTACATTACGGAGGATGTGAGCTCTCGACTTCTTAAAAATTGGTATCCGATTCTCCTTATTACATGCTACAATGTGTTCGATCTTGTTGGCAAGAGTTTAACTGCAGTGTATCTCCTAGAGAATCCGAAAATTGCAGTAGGAAGTTGCATTGCAAGATTGATATTTTTCCCTCTCTTCCTCATGTGCTTGCATGGTCCCAAAATTTTCCGAACAGAGATTCCTGTGACGATACTGACTGGGCTGTTAGGGCTTACTAATGGGTACCTAACCAGTGTATTGATGATATTGGCACCTAACGTCGTGAAGTTGCAGCATGCAGAGGCTGCAGGCACTGTGATGGTACTATTCCTGGTTGTTGGTCTGGCTGCTGGGTCTGTTGTAGCTTGGTTCTGGGTCATTTGATCCATCAGTTTGTATGGATTTGTGGCTTCCAGCAATTATAAGACAGAACTGGTTTACATGTTCTGTTTGATGTAATCTGTAAATTACTTCGCAATGAAGTGTTGATGTTTCACTGCTGTTAATGCATCCTTAATCAACGTTATTTGATGCAATTTGTAAATTATGTCAATTCAATGAAGTTATTGCTGTTTCGCTACTGTTAGTGCTTCCTTAATCAACGTTATTGCATGTGCTTCTGATGCACCACGATAGGCTGAAAGAAAATGAAAGCCAAAATGCTGGTTGGTATGTTAATTTACAACCTGCTTGAAGTCTGTCTTTTTTTTATTTTTTTATTTTTTTGGGTGACATGGACAAGCTGAGGCTTGAAGAAGGAAAAAAAGTCCTAATAAGCTCTTGCAGTTGACGCAGTAGATCTTCCAGCAGTTGCTTGAAGTCTTACTTTAGACTCCATGCAAAGCACAAGTCTTGTCGTTTAGTTATAAAAATATCATTTTACACGCCACCAGAAAAGAGGCCGCTAAGAATGGCATTGTTTGCTGTTATAATGGGAAGCTTCCTTTGGGCAATTAAGGTGGCACAAGTACCAGCTTACTAACTTATCTTTATATTTTATTTTTAAATCTGTGACTTAGGAGTAATCTGAGTATCCAAATCCATTACTGTGTTTCATTTCTCTATTGTTTGGGATGTTGGACTGCTTTGTGTAGTGCCTAAATAGCAGCGGCAGTAATAGAAAGGTCGCCATTAATTTTGCTCCTAAGTGGTATGAAAGCTCATCTGAAAATAGGAAATCGAAGGTTTAATGTCACTTGTAACCTCAACTTGTTAGTACCATTCCTTCTAAATAAAAACTAGGTTAAAGTATACTTTTAGTCTTTTAACTTTATAAAAAGTTTTGTTTTAGTCCTTTAAAAAATAAATTTTGTCTTCTAGTCCTAGAACCATTAACAAAAAAACGATGATATTAAGTTATTGAATATTGATAAAATATTACTAAGAGCCTGTTTGGTTCAATTCTATTACAGGCCTGCAATGGTAATCGAGATTGCATTACCAAAATAATAATATTTGATTGCTTTTTAATTTGGTAATAAAGTTTACTGTTGTAACGAAAATTACCAAAAATTTGGCAATTCCCATACATACCTCCCCCATATGAATGGGTATTACCTTCCATTGCCCTATTTGGAATGTTTTTTCTACCCTTAAAATCTAATATGAAAGACACAAAATAACCCAAATCAAATCCCTCCCTCATCTTTCCTTCAATGTCTTTACCTGTACCTCCTCTCACTCGCCCACTCCTTCTCCACCTTGCCGGCCGCCGTCGCTCACCACCTCTTTCTCCATCAACTTTAAAGCCATGAATATTATCTTTAACAACTTCATTTCTGCTTCCTTTCCTCTCCTTCTCCACCTTACCAACACCGACGTCGCTACTCGCCACATCTTCCTCTAGGGGTGTGCATGAGACCCCGTATGCCCAATAAACCCATCTGAGCTCGCAAGAAAAGCACCCAACCTAGCCCAGTAAAAAGCTGCTCAAGCAAAAATAGGCATCTTTGGGTTGGACTGATTCATAGGGAGGGCAGGGCCGCAGGCAGGGTATGCTGCCCTGCCCATTTGGTCCTGCCTGAAAAATATATAATTATATATATAAGATAATATTATTTTAAGCAATTATCTCTTTTATTTTGACTAAAAAAAAGGTAAAATTTGAAAAAATGAAAGGAACATAAAAATTATAATTATATAAAAGAGCTAAATATCAAAATATAAGATTTAGTATGCTAAATTACTCTAAGTCAAATTTCCTTCTTTTTCTCTTACATCCAATTTTTTAAAAGAAAAAAAAAAGAAAAAAAAAATCACCTCCCAAATTTTGTGTTTTCACATGATTATAAGAATCCACCAACTATATGAATAAACTAAGGAATTGAACTACTGATTTAGCTTAATTATTAAATGTTCTAATTATTAAATTTTTTTTAGCTCCCATAAGAAATCAAAAGCTGAAGAACAAAACTACATAGGCCTTATATATATATATATTTATATGAGTGATAGACTCAGTCGTGGTAATTTTTTTCCTCTCACTTGTCTCAAAACACGATAATTGAATTTTTTTTTTCTACATATGATGTAAGGCATGGTGTCATTAAGTTGGGCAGAAAAGCCCGTCTTGCCCTGCCTGCCCTTGCTCTGCCAAAAATGATTAGGGCTTTTACTAGGTAGGGCCGGACAAGGGGCTGCAAAACGCAGCCTGCTCATCTTTCAGGTTGGATATCGGGCAAGGGACTTGTCCTACCTAACCCTCCCATGTGTAGCCCTGCCTTCCTCCACCACCAAGTTTGAAGCCATGGATTTTTCCCTCCAAATTCTTTATCTCTGCCTCCTTTCTCTCTCCTCCCCCTCCTTCTCCACCTTGCCAGCGTCTGACGCCGTCGCTCACCATCTCCTCCTCGACCAAGTTGGAAGGCATGAACGTTTGCCTCAACCTCTTCATATTTGCCTCCTCTATCTCTTTCTCCCCTCCTTCCTCCTTTTCCATCATGTCACTCACTTACTCGTCCGGAAAATACACAAAGCTTATGCCCAATAGAATTAACAAAAAATGGCGATGGATATGACACAACGACATTGCTACGAGGATGAGAGAAGGAACCACTGTTATTTACCAAGGCTGCCATGGTGTCTCATTTTTGTGAGTACAAGTGATGTGATCTTCGATCTGCAGAAATTTCCCCTCTAATCTCACCAAGAAGATACGACAAAAATGATATGTAGAGGGAAAGGTTTCTCTTACAAGGGTCAAAAGAGTAATTTAATCATTTTTTTTGTTTTTTCTTCTAATTAAAAATAAATATCAGTGCATGATTTCTTTTTAACAAACCAAACACATTATAGCAATAAAGATTGCATTGCAATGCATTGCATTACATTGTATTGCATTGCTAAAAATGCTTACAATTGAACCTAAAAGGTTATAAATGTTATAATATTAAGTTTAATTTTCAAAACAATCATGATTGTTACAAAAAATTATCATTTAATACTAACAATTTTAGGGTTAAAGGACTAAAAATAAACTTTTTAAAGTTAAGAAACCAAACTGAAATCTTATATAAAATTAAAGAACCAAATATATATTTATACCTAAAAACTAAGGTAGTAGAAAGATCAATTAGCTAAATTAATTGCTATATATATATTTTATTTATATATACACAAAAGTGGCAGGTTAGTGGGTTTGAACAAGGGCCACAACCCTATGCTCTCGGCTCTACTCGGGCCCTCCTCATCATTTCTTGCTCCCGCCTCCAATATTTTATTTCTTCTTTTATTAGAGGAACAGATACACTTAAAATTACCAAAAAAAATAATAATAAAATTGCAACCTCCTTGTATTTTTATGTCAGTAGATTGTTAAAAATTAAAATATTGGCATGACCCACAAGACTATTGGCTGCATGCATATCTTTTAAACTGGTAAAAAAAAATTGTTTGAGATAAATATATAAAAGGGTTAGATTCATATTTATTTAAGAAGGTTTGATTAGGTAAAAAAATTAATTTTTTAGTCTTTTAATTTTTAATTCGCTTATAATTTAGTCCTTAAAGTTTTGACTCGTTTATGACTCAATTCGTTTTTTTTTTTTAACTTGTTATCAATTTTGACTTATCCTACATGAGTGGGAAGAGTCTTATTAATTATTTTTGCCATGTAGGATGAGTCAAAATTGAATTATGGATGATAAAGATAACAATAAAATGGAAATAAAAATATAAAAGAAACGAGTTAAAAATTCAGAAATTGAGTTATAGGTGAGTTAAAAGTTGAAGAGACAAAATATTTAAAAAAAATTATTTTTTGAGGTACCTAGATTTTCTTTCAATTTTTAATCTGCTACTTGCGAGTTTTTTCTCTCAATATTAAATCATGTAATTTTACTTTGTTAACACAATTAGTTTTCGAACGCGATCCATCAATGCTAATAAACTAAAGTCATAGGGGTTAATTGTGCTAAAAGTGTAAAATTGAAAGATTTAATAATGAAAAGAAAACATACAATTACCAAATTAAAAATTAAAAAGAATACTATAGATACTCTAGGAATGGTTTTCCCAAAAAAAATTAATTTTTCCAAAAAAAAAAAAACTCAGTGAATAATAGAGTAGGCCTCCATAGTGATGAAGGAAGACGGAAGATAACAGTAACAGAACACATGTATGCATGTAAAAACAAAGCAATGCTAAAAGCCTACCAGCCACTCGCATGTTGTTAAATAATGCTATGACTATACTCGCATTTTCTTTTTTATACTCAGCAAATCATAACTATATCTTCTTCACAGTTGAATAATCTCCTCAGTTGTCTCACTAATTCCTTCATATCCAATGTTCGTTTCTTAATTTGCATGTGTTCTGATTGAAGAGGCAGAAAAACCAGAAATACCATAATCTGAGAAAAGGATATGAAGGTGAACTCCTTACTAACACAGCTATTATTAATTTGCAGGGAGCAGAAATCCTAACCCGAGAATTCTAGAGGTGCATTGCTTACTATCATTTCCATTTCACTCTCTTCATCTCTAAAGCGATTCATGATTGTGGCGATTGATGACTTAGTTTAAAGTAATTTCAGAATATGAGCTTCTTTTTTTTTTTCCTTCAAGTTCTTAATTTCATTTACAGTTGAAGCATTCTTTGGTCCCCGGCTGAACTGAGTTAAATCTCAACATTCATTTTCATTGGGATGACTGGTGAGGTAGCAATGGCGGTGTAAGTTAATTCTCGTCCTTAACACCTAAGAATTTGTATCTCCAATGCTAATATTGCTGCGAGAACGGTTTGATTTGTCCAATGTGAAACGGGAATTCTGGGATGAAGGGGTAGACATTTTATGAATCGCGATAATCAAGTGAAGGAAATTAACGAACAGTTTGCCTTTACCCATTCTATAACGAGGAGCAAAAACATACTTCCGTACTCTAATTATTACTTGTCGACAACTCTTTCCTCTGCCCAGGGTAGCTTCTGCTCCAGGGAAGGTATTGATAACAGGGGGTTACTTTATATTGGAGAGGCTAAATGCGGGACTTGTTCTCTGTACCAATGCTCGGTTCTATACAATCGTGAAACCACTACATGAAGAAACGAAATCCGATAGCTACGCAGGGGTGGGATCTTACTGCATAC